CGACAAACTTCCCAAGGATTTACAACTTATTGGGTTAGTTTCTTCCAATATATATTAAACAATTTTCCAAGAAAAAAAATGTTCTCATTTATATTCAAGCAAAGTCCTTTTCATTGTTTTATGCATGTCAGAGTCCCAGTGTACTATATGGCAAACACAGAGGATTTAACTGAAAGGAGTTTCAGACAGCCTGGGGAACACCTCAAGGGAACCAATAATGGTAGAGCACTCAGGATAAGAAAGGATAGATAGAAATCACATTGAAACAGCAGACCAGAAAAGAATCCTTGAGGAACCTGAATACCGGAAGGAGGTATCTGTATCAACGCAGTGGTGACAGGTAGACTACAACTGGATCACAGCTGAAGCTCAGCCCAGAAGGAATAGAGGCAATGTATACCTCCTCCCTCTCCCTGTAACATTTCGCTCATTGCTATCATTGGAAATATTCAAATGGTTAGCCTTCCAGATAGTTGATTACAATAACCAGCATAGATGAATACTGGAACTTACTACACAGAAGGCCCTGGGCCAAGAACTTTGTAATGTTTTACCCTAATCTGAAAAAGTAAAAGTTTACATACACATCTTTCATAATCTGAAGATGAAAACCAACAAAAAGTACTAAGATTAATTGCACTTACCCAAAGTCTCACAGCTAATGAGTGGCAAATTATTTCAATTCACGCCTCTGACCTCAAGTTTCCTGCTGTGAACATAGCTTAAATACAAGCTCATGTTCCTTTTGCTATCAATGATGTGAGTAAAATGCAAACTCAATGGCTAAAAGACTCTGGTAAGGAAATATCTAGTTAATGAAGCAGGTGTTGTTTCCATAATCTTTCCGTGTATAGCGTAATTAGATGATAGCACATTCTACCTTAAGTATAATCTAAACAAGATCACTTCCACCTCAGTTTATTTATAACAGGTTCTAGAAATGCTCCTGGTTGAGTTGTATATCACTCCTACCTAGATTCTGGCCTAGAAGCCTGGGTCATCTTTTGAGCCTTTTTTTCCCCCCATAGCCAGTATTTCCTATTCAAAGTCCGGTGAGGAGATGGTTGAACACAGGGAGTCTGTCATTGATCCAAATCAAATGAATGAACTCCAGTGGCAGCCATGTATTAGTAGGAGTTACTAAACTGGGGGAAATTTGTCTTACTCATTGTGATATCGACAAAGGCAATAATGAATCCATTGGGACTTGTTTGTTTAGTTACAAGATAATGAGAGTAACAAATTTATAAGACAAATGGTCTTGATGCTAATATTGATAGTCAATATTAAGATAAGTAAAACCTAATTTTAAAAGTGGCTCAAAAGAGAAAGATGCCATATGACAGAGCTCATGTGGAAGTTTTTTTTTTTTTTTTTTTTTTTTTTTTTTTTTTTTTTTTTATTAAGGGAAAGGGAATGGGGAAAGAAGGGAGGGGAGTGGGGAGACCAGCCTCTGGGGACAGGACAGCAGAAAAGAGAAGCAGAGAGAGAAGGGTGGGGAAGCAAAAGACAGGCAGAAAATAAGAGAGAGAGAGAAAGAGAGAGAGAGAGAGAGAGAGAGAGAGAGAGAGAGAGAGGGCCCTTTTAAAAGGGAATGTAGTGAATATGCACAGATGGTGCTCTTAGTGGCTGCAGCTGACGGCGTTTCCTGTCAGAACGCCAAGGGCAGGCTAGTACAGATGTCTGAATACTAACACCTACCTCTCTATTGTCTTTGAGGGCTGCATTTCCCAGAGATGATTAGATCATGTAGGTTCTAATTTAATGGACATAAACTGATGGACATAAATTTCAACAAATTATTGAGAGGTTGTGAAATTTGCTATGTGGTTACAGGAAGGAGGTCCCTAGAGAGGTATCACTGGGGACTGTAGTTTGCCCCCAGCACCACTGCTTTGTGTCCACCATGATGTGAACTGTGGTTCTATTGTGACCTACTGGCCCGTAGACTGATACCTTTGTAACTCTGAGACAAAACAAATAATTTATTCAGTTCTCTCTGTTAGATGTTTAGTCATAGTAAACAGAAAAGCAAATAGTGTAGCAAATTCAGCTATAAAATGCCTGAGCTCTGGAGCCACATCTAATTGCTACTGATGTTTTATCTGTGCAGATGGATGCTCCTCTGCCTTCCTTCCTCTTTCCCTAAAAGTCCCATTGAGATTAATAGCTGACTGAATTTCATGTGCCCCTTAAAATATTGTAATAGAATAAATAAGTTGTTTGATATATTTTCTGATAGTTAGGATCCAAACACTTTTCTAAATAACTTTTCTTCTGGTTCAGGAAACACAAAATCATATGTTTGCGTTCATGTTAAGCAACTGGGAAAGATATTTTGGAATCATTGCCATAGTGCTAAAGTCAGAACAGATTGCCTATTCAGGGCTGTCTGTGACTGGAGAATTGTATTCACTCTCAAAACAAGTGCAGCAAAGCATCAAGAGATGCAAATGAGATGGATATATTCCTTTCCTCAAGATTTCTGAACTTCTTTCAGACTTCTGTGTGTCAACCCTTCTGAAGTTGCCCCTGGGACTGTACAGAAGCAGTTCCTCCCTCTGCTATAGATCCTTAACTACCACACAAATGTGATTCCCAAGCAACTCAATGAGTTGGACTATGTCTCCTTCTGCAGACACCAGAGTGCCCCAGCACCTTTGTTTCTATAAAACACTACAGCATATGACATCATAATGGAATATGTAGCTGTCTTCTAGCTTGTTGTATGTTCTTTGAGTACTGTGTATTTTTTTTATTATCCTTGGTACCTAAGAATAATTGACTCATTTTACTCTGTAAATTATAAAATAATGGACTATAGACAAACTCATAAAAAAGATGAGCCTCTCCCTTTAAATATATTCGTGCCCATATTTAACCATATTTATATCTGAGTGAATGGATAATACCACTATTAGGTCTCAAACTTGGGACAAATGGCTAACTGAGGTGCCTATTTACCATATCAAGGAGTACCTGGGCTCCAGGTTCTCTCAGTATCTCTCAATTCCTTACCTGTTACAGGCTATGGCCGGCATACCCACCCTCTACTCTAAACTTCTCCAGCCCAGGGGCTGGGCTACCTTTTCCTAGCTGCCCTTCCCTATATAATCCAGCCATTTTGGTTACCTGGCTCTTTCCCCTCATGGCCTCTTTGTCTCCTTGCTCTCCCCTCCTCATTTTCTCCTCTCCCATGCTTATGAATAATCATGTCCTCCTTTTTTCATTCACCCACCAATTGAAAACTGCAGTATTTTATGTGACACTAGGCAATATGATCACTGAAGGCAATAAGTTTTTAATGTGTGAGGTTGTTAGCAGCATCCTATTAGCAACATGTTAAAGTGGAAAACACAGACACATCTAAAGATTGCAATCAACACATAGTTATTGCCAGGGCAATTTCTGCCACATTTCTTTGTCCATCTGCAAGCTGTATCTTCTCTGGACATGGTAGTTCATTCCCTTTATCCCATCACTTAGAAGGCAGAAGCAGGTCAGTTTCTAGGAATTCCAGGCCAGGCTAGTCTATATGATGTGTTCCAAGGTAGCTGGGGCTACATAGTGAGACCTTCTCTCAAAACAAAACAGCAAAGAAAAAATAAACATGAAAACTGCATCTTAAGATTTCAAAGAGACTAATATAACACCCCTTCTAGACTCAGATATGGACACTGTCCCTCTTCTCAGTTGTTTTCTCAGCCAAACCTGTATCTGATTGAAGGCATAATCGTTCCTCTGGCATTGGCAGCCTTACCATTCCCCCAAACAGAACCTCCTGGGAACACCTACCTTTGGGAGGAAGGAGAGAGTGCTAGGGATCAATGGCTCCAGAGATGGCAGACTGTTAACTTTCTGGCATGCCCCTGAGTGATAGCGCTGGCTGTATATGAAGGGCCTATTTGTAATGTGATCTTTTCTGTGACTTAAAAGGAAACTTTAAAAAGTCAGCTATGTTTTGCTTAATTTCTTTCTGTCAGTTAAATTTCAAGAAAAATAGAAATGTGTACACTCATGTCCAAAACCTGCTTTTTCCAAACTCGTGAGCTCTATAAAAAACTAACATACCTGGATAAATAAAAAATGATAATTTAAATATCAGGAATAAAACTACATATTCCTGTGTGAATTATTGGGGAACTACTGAAATAAATTCCAATTCTTAATTTTTCATAGAGCATCTAAATTGCATTAGTTCAAATTACTAAGATGTTTTTCATATTTTATTATAAATTACATTTGTTATGTACAAGATCTCACGTAGACCAGATGAGTCTCAAACTCACTATGTAGGTGAGGATGACTGAATTCCCAACCCTCTTGCCTCAACATCCCAAATATTCACATTGCCTTAATACAAACTAAATGATTTGGAGAGTGATTTCACTAACTAGACTTTAGCCCCTAAAATATTCATTCAACATTTTATTATACTCTTTTGTGACAAAATGTTCCTATATTACAAAGACACATAGAAACAAACAGGCACTAGTTCACATGTGTATGGCACATGCACACCCTAACACACAAAAGTGGCAATGGGGGAATGGTGGGTGAGCATTAGATGTTGACTTTGCCACATTAGTAGTTGTAGTTAATGGGAAAATTAAGTAGCAAGAAAAAGAAGTTTCTTTGAAAAGTCTTTCCCCTTTTCCCTTTCCCCTTTTCCATTTCCCCTTTCCCCTTTCTCCTATAATTAGCTGAACAGCCCTCCCTGGCACACACTTAACTTTGCTTGTACAGGTCACCAGGAGCCTTTGTACTGCCTAAAATTGACATATTTTCTTTATAAAGACAGCCTTTGTTCCCAGATATTCATAATCAGAGCTATCACTGCTTATATTGCTGTAAAGATCACAGTCAAACCATGTGTAATAAATTCAACTGTCATTTATTTTGTAAAATATTATAATACTTTGTCTTAGGAAGATGTGTTTAAAATCACTTTTCCTCTGTTAAGTACAGATACCTTTAAAACTGAAAGAGTTTTATAGATGTTTAACTTAAGTCTAATCTTATGTTTATTTTTAGTAACAGCACAAAATGTAAAGCAGTTTCCTATGTTTAATATTTCAGTGACAGTCAAGTTAAAAACCCTAAGTTAAAGAATAGCCATTCACTCTTCCATATATTCCATGTTCATCAGCTGTGTTGGGGAATGAAGAGGGTGGTCTGTGCCCTTCAGCAGCTTGTGGTCTGGAAGATACAAAAGACATAGAGAAGTAATATTGAGATATACTCACAGTGGGGCAGCTTTAGCAAAGTAAGTCTTGACAGAAAGGGAAATAAAACCATAAACAATGCCCCCACCCCCAATCTAAATGAATAACAGAACAAGACAAAGTGCTAGGCATCAAGTATTCAAGTATGATACTCATCTTTTAAGAGCCCAGAATCCTTGTTGCTGTCATACAAACCATTCCTGGCATATTATTTTAATAGGAACTATCCCAAATCAGTAAACAGTGAGGTACACGAACCATTTCATTAGATAGCACAGCTGGGAAATGTGTTACAGTAAGTAACTGCACACAGCCTGCTTTCCTTCAGTGAACTCACCCAAGACAGTTATTTCCAGTAGGAGGCTGGTCAGATCAATTCTGACACTTAGTCTTGTGGGATTCTGATTTCTAGCTTCCAGCTAGGCATTCATAGAGATTTATCAGAGTGCCTTGTTTACAGAACTCTGAAAATCTACCAACTAGCAAATTCCTGTAATAACATTAAGACTGTCTATATGAGAAGAGGATCAATCTATTTTTAATATAAAATGGGGAAAAAAACCAAAACAGAAATGTGTAGAGACCAACATTGACAGACTCCAGCTAAAAAAGGCCACTTGAGTCTACCAAGTCCTGTGTCTTTTTCTAACCCCCCCCTTTTTACATCTATTTATTTTGTGTGGACCTGTGTGGGGGTTCAAGTGTGCCACAGGGTTCAAGTGTGGAGGTTGGAGGACAATGCTTCATAGTCGAAGCTCTCCTGCCTGGGCATCCAACTCAGGTTTGGCAGCAGGTACCTTTAGACCCACTTCAATATCCTGTGGGCCAAATTTATGCCATTTCTTGATGCTCAAACATTCAACCTCAAATCACTAAACTGGGTTTCAGAAAGAGTCAGATTTAAATGGGTATACAAGACTGAAAACAAATATCATAGGTGTTAGTTTCCTTAAGTTGACACAGCATAACTTTGACAACTGTAATTTCAACGACTGACTCCAATTCCCTCAATTGTCAAGTAGAAGAAATTGAGTTTCAAACAGACCAAGTGGGCCAAAAGTTACAGTGAAAACAAACAAAGTGTGAGATCTACGGTTCTCTTGACTTCCAGCCCAGTTCTCCACTTGCAGTATCCCAGAAACAACAGACCCAAATTGTTTGAAGGTGACAACTGTGACTTTTTTCTTGTTCTGGAAAGATTTCTATATACATGATAAAAAAATGAGATATAATTTGAAATACTCGTCTGAAGGATTCTATTTTCAAAAGTAATAACAATAACAAATAACAATTTCAAGCAGCAAAACTAAATCATGATCTTTTTTTTCTTGAGATTTTGATTTTTTGGGGGAAAATAAAAATAGAATGATCTGTAGTCATAGTAGTTTTTAATGGTTACTTTAAAATAAAATGAACTTCTTTGGGCAATCATGTCTGAGTGTTAAGAAGTGTCTGGAAAGTTAAGATGGATGTCACACTTTACCCCTGCCTGATTAGCTTTCCATTACATATGACACTGCAGGCAAAAGACTTTTCAAGGACCATGGAAGGAAACTATGAGAAAGAAAACCCGAGTTAAAAAACCACCAGATAATGCATTCAGATTGTCATGGGTGTGGCTTTAGGCTGAGACATTTCAGCTGCCCCTTCCAGATAGACACAAGAAACAGAGTGAAATATTGATAACAGGATGACTAGCTACAGTATAAAGATTCCTAGGATGGAAAAGTTATTCTACTGGTGAAATAAAAAAGTGTCTCGAGAGTGCAACATTTAAGGACAGAGCACTTTGGCTTGAATGCAAAGATTTGGGATTTAAGTTCAGTTAGGAACTACAACTTCCAATAACCTAAAATAGCAGCATCATTATTGATTTAGAAATATATGAGAGGTAACATAAAATATGGGAAGGGGTATCTGGTCACTCAACACTAAACTCAAGTTACAAAACAAAAACAAAAGTTCCTAGCTAGTCAAGCTGTTTCAGGTGTTTCAGATCAAACTAAGTCCTTGAGAAATATTGTAATGTGTTTGACCACTGAGGGCACTGACATTGTAAAAGGAAGTCAAGAGCTGGGGATGTAGCTCAGTGGGCAGAATTCTTACAATGCCCCAGATTTGAGCCTCACAAAAATCTGGGGATATAGTGGTACATGCCTCTACTCCCATAAAGGCAGGGCGATGATCAGACATTCAGGGTCATCCTTTACTACACATTCTTGGGCTTCATTTGACCCCACCAAAAAAAAAAAAAATCAGTTCAAAAATGCTTGCCTTAGAATTTAAAAGAATCATGAAATATAAACTAGAGTCATTGTGGGTTTTCTACATAAATAATTATAAGTAAATGCATGCATATTTTTAAACATTTTTATAATTTATTTAACTTAATTTTATGTGCATTGGTATGAAGGTGTCAGATCCCCTGGAAATGGAGTTACAGACAGTTGTGAGCTGCCATGTGTGTGCCGGGAATTGAACCCTGGTTCTCTGGAAGAGCAGCCAGGCCTCTTAACCGAAGTAAAATCTTTCTCAAAAATAACAATGATTTCCTAGACTTGGTAGAAACAGGCTGGTTCCCAGAGTGTGGAGAGTGAACTGGTAAAGGCGTCAGCTAAAGGAGATGGCAGGGGATAACAGCTCGTAACTTGCATTTGCACAGATGATTAGAAGACAGATGAGTGGTTTCTGGAACAGTGTGTAGTTCATCAGTCCTGAATCTGAATGCCACTTACATGCTCTTGAACACATTCATCAGCTTTCTCAGAATTTCATTTTACTTTTCTACAAATTAGGGTAGCATTTTCTTTATAAGAAAAGAAAGAGTGGGAAAGTGTTTTTGAAATTTCCAAAAGTTGATTGTACTCCAATGAAGACCTTTCATTCATTAAGAGCCTATGCAGCACCTTCTTGATCCTTAAAATACTTAAAACACAGTGAGAGTATGAGTGAGCTCAAGACTTCTCTGCTTCCCACTGTCTACAGACTCAAGAAAGAGGCATTCCTATGTTCCCATCGCCATGGTGAAAAAAAAGGGTGTGTGTGTGTAAGGTTTTTCTTTTTCTTTACAACCAATTCTATGGCTCTTCTTTGGAGGGCGGTCATAGTTAGTAGATCAGTTTATCTTAATTTACCATAGCCTCAGCTTTTGGCCAGTTATTGGCAGGGAGAATCAGCGCTAATCTATTGCAGGCCAGCTCCCACACTGAGCGCCTCAGAGACTACTGAGCCTTGGAGAGCTGACTGCCAATTTTGGATTCTGGGATTCCCAGGACATCAGGTCAAGCCACCCAGAGGTCCACCAGGGGTACATTCCACGCATAGCTTCTGCTCTCTCTGGGTTCTGTCCTTTAACATCTGGGTTAACTGGGTAGTCCAAACAGGGTAACGTCGCAGAAAACAGTTGGGCATGTTGCTGAGCCCAGGCCGAACGTGACTAGTCCTTAGAAACTGCTTCTGGGAATCCCAGTGCCAACAAGCGCGCGTCACGTCTGAGTGCGGGGAAGGAATGAGCAAGACCAGGCAGAGTTTGGACTTCGGGGACTAAGTCTGCACTGCACTTTCGTGGGCTCTTTTCACTTTTACATAAGTTTGGAAGCTGGCTCCACATCAGGGAAGGAAGTGCAAAGTGGCAAACTCAGTTTAGATACTTACGTTAGCACTCACACACTCCGCAGTTCCTCGTACACAGGGAGGCGTGGGAAAACTCAGCCACCCGGAGTTCGGCTTTAATTCTCAAGAGTGGCGGCCAGAGCCGTGTATCACCTCCCTTGACTTTCAGCTAGGCTGCGTCTTTCCTGTTACTGCGCTTGCGTGCGCGCGTAAGCGATAGGGCCCGCCTCTCCGGTAGGGACGACAGACATGCGCCGGGAGGCGGGCTGCGCATGCGCGATCGCCGCGTCAGCCACTTGCGCGGGGCCGGTGACTGAAAGTGCCGGCTTGTGTGTGCTCAGCGTGGGGTCTGCCGCGCAGCGTGGATCTGCGCGCCGAGGCTCAGAAAAGCGTCGGGGGAAAGCCTGTCCCGGGCTGGCAGGAGTTAGAGGTAGTGTTTCTCTCCTGTCCCCTTCCCAGCCTAGGACCCCACCCCCACCCGCGCCTCTGTGTCTCTTGCGGACCCCCCTCGGCGCCTTCTGTTTTGAAGTGAGCCCCTGGCGAGGTCATGAAGCTTGTGAGGAAGAACATCGAGAAGGACAATGCGGGCCAGGTCACCCTCATCCCCGAGGAGCCCGAGGACATGTGGCACACCTACAATCTGGTGCAGGTGGGCGACAGCCTGCGCGCCTCCACCATCCGCAAGGTCCAGACCGAGTCCTCCACGGGCAGCGTCGGGAGCAACCGCGTCCGCACCACCCTCACTCTTTGCGTGGAGGCCATCGACTTTGACTCTCAAGCCTGCCAGCTGCGAGTTAAGGGGACCAATATCCAAGAGAATGAGTATGTCAAGATGGGAGCTTACCACACCATCGAACTGGAGCCCAACCGCCAGTTCACCCTGGCCAAGAAACAGTGGGACAGTGTGGTTCTGGAGCGCATCGAGCAGGCTTGTGACCCAGCGTGGAGCGCTGATGTGGCAGCTGTGGTCATGCAGGAGGGCCTCGCCCACGTCTGCTTAGTGACACCCAGTATGACCCTCACCCGTGCCAAGGTGGAGGTGAACATACCCAGGAAACGGAAAGGCAACTGCTCCCAGCATGACAAGGCCCTGGAGAGATTCTATGAACAGGTGGTCCAGGCCATCCAGCGCCACATCAACTTTGATGTTGTAAAGTGCGTTCTGGTGGCCAGCCCAGGGTTTGTTCGAGAGCAGTTCTGCGACTACATGTTTCAGCAAGCGGTGAAGACTGACAACAAAGTGCTCCTGGAAAACCGGTCCAAATTCCTTCAGGTAAAAACTCTTACCCAGAGAAATTCAGGAGTGGGCAGAGGGATTGGTGTGAATGGTTCGTAATGTTTTAGAGTAGTAGAAGGCTAAAACTCAATTTAACTGGGATTATAAATGAATCAGTAAAGAGAACGGTGTAGGTCTACCACATTTATAAGGTAACCTTTGCAGAAGTCCTTAAATAGATAAGGCCTTATTCATGCTTTTGTCTTACGCCATTGTGGGCTGATTAACGGATACTTTCAAAGATTCTTTGTCTTTTATAATTGTGATTCTAGGTACACGCCTCCTCTGGACACAAGTACTCCCTGAAAGAGGCCCTTTGTGACCCTACTGTAGCTAGCCGCCTTTCAGACACGAAAGCTGCTGGAGAAGTAAAAGCCTTGGATGACTTCTATAAAATGTTACAGCACGAACCTGACCGAGCCTTCTATGGACTCAAGCAGGTGGAGAGGGCCAACGAAGCCTTGGCGATCGACACATTGCTCATCAGTGATGAGCTCTTCCGGCATCAGGATGTGGCCACCCGGAGCCGGTATGTCAGGCTGGTGGACAGCGTGAAAGATAACGCAGGCACGGTTCGGATATTCTCTAGTCTCCATGTGTCTGGGGAACAGCTTGGCCAGTTGACGGGAGTTGCTGCCATTCTTCGATTCCCAGTGCCAGAACTTTCTGACCAAGAGGATGATTCCAGTTCTGATGAGGATTAAGACTGACATTTAATAGTTACTTCTTCTCAGTGTCCCTTGACAGGTGCAAAAGCTGCACTTGTTGATCATGCTGGGATTTCTGGTGTGTTGGTCACACTAGTGTTTTATAGTTGGCAGGACATGTATTCAAATTAAATAAATCAAAAGAAAAGAATGTCCCAGCATTATGGTTTCTAATTGGAGTTATTTTTTCTAAATACCTGAAAACAGCAATTTGAGTATCTAAGGGGGAAAAGAGTCTGCTGTTTGGGCTTGATCATTAAAGCCCATGTACCTGTTTTAATAGGTTTTCCTTGTAAAAATCTTTAATCTCTCATGAAGTTTATTTTCACTCTGCATGGTGTTTTTGCATTTCATTTAATTATGCATTTTCTCACCTCTTTCTAATTTTTGTTTTTTCAGGATTTGGCTACATTTACTAAAGTGTAATTAAAACCAAGCCTAAAATGTTATTTTCTTTTAGAGATTTGCTAAACTAGTCGATTTTAAAACACTCTTGTTGCTCTTTGTTGCTCTAATCATACTTTCTGTAGACAGTTATTTTCAGGCAGTAGAGGTCTGATCTACTAGGGATTCTCAGCACAGTCTCTGGACTTTAAAAATGAGATGAAAGCCTGTGGTTTGCTTACTGTGTATCGAGGAGTGGCAAATCTGGACATTTCTCCACTCTGGACTTCTGTTCTTTATACTGAAGCACAGCCGCGTTCTTTGGTTCTCTGTGTTACTTAGTATGACTTGGCCAGTGTTATACTTTGCCACAGTGCCTATGGTATTAGTCTGTGCTCTCACATTCTTACTGGGTTATGTTACCTGTGAAGAAATCATACTCAGGGAGTTGGGTAACTCAGATGACTATTGGGAAGTTGTAGTCTAGGACTCCTAATTGTAGACAAGGAATTTGTACAAATGACCATTCAGCCTATTTTTTATTTTACTATATATTTTGGGTGTGTGTTTCTTACATCAGGGACTTCAGAGAAAAGGAATTGCAACTTGATCTTTTACAAATCTCAGTTTAGCACATGATTAGGCATTCTGTGTGCAGTCTGGACCAGTGATGCCTACGCAATATAAACTTAAGTTTTTGGACTTCATTGTGGTAGAGTATGTTTGGGTTTATAACAAGTTTGATAACCTTGTTAACTTTATATTTTTCCTATGATGCCTAGAACTGATACAGTCATGATACATCCTTACCTACTTTCTAAAAATAATTCAGGTTGTCATTTCATCTTAATATTTAGCTTTAATTGTGAAACTTTTATTAAGTAACATAATAAGAATACAGAGAGGAAGTCATTACAGCTCTTAAATTTAGGACCTGGTTGGTAATGAATCCTAATCTCAGGGCATAAATTACTGCTGTTATATCTCTAGCACTAAAATGAAATCTAATAAACTGGTGAATACATTTTAGAGCAAAGGTTCACATCAAATGGTGGTAGCTTCTCATTGAGAACTCTTAGTGACTAAGCTGAAGCCCAAAATATTAAACAGCCTTTCACCTCAGAAGTGCTAGTGGTTCATTTTTTTTTACCAATTACTGAGATAAAATGGGCATAGTAGCCTATGCTTTTAATCTCAGTGCTGGAGTAGCAGAGACAGGTGGAATTTGGGGTTCAACAAGAGCTGGGTCTGAGTAGTGAGTCCAGTCTTAAAGAAAAATGACTGGGACAGATGCAGTAGGCTTCAGGGTTGAGAACTTGATAGACAACTTGCTATTTGCAAGTGAGCTGATGAGTCCAGCAGCACCTGTGCAGACATGTTAGAACCTCGAATCCAGCTCTCTGCTCTGAGCCAGCGTCAGCTTGCTCCAGCATCTTCAGGTGATAGCTGTGTGGAATAAAATGTGATACAAATGTCAGTGATAGCCTTTCCAAGCAGAGTTGGGAAGTCAGGCTGGGTTTCCAGATTTAAGATTAGCAGGCTATTCTGATGGGACTGTAAGACCTCTAAATAAATGTCAGTTTTTACATATATAAGGTATATAGGAAATCTTTTAATGCTTGTTTGTTTTTCTTTTAAGTAGTTTATTAACTTTTGGTTTTTTGAGACAGTATCTCTGTGTAGCTCTGGCTGTCCTAGAACTCACTCTGTAGACCATACTGGCCTTGAATTCAAGAGATCCTTCTGCCTCTGCTTCCTGAGTGCTAGAATCAAAGGTGTGTGCCGCCACCACCCGCAAACTTTTTTTAAAACTCACATTTTATATTGCTGTCCAAAGTATAACTCATATCATACCAAAGGGACAAGTACAAAAATAATGACACAAGCAAATGAAATTTAAAACTATTCATTATTGTTGGCTTTTCTAAAAATCAGAGTGAACCTGTGTCTTTGGAAATCCTAAATTGATCTGCCGCATCTGAACCTTAGATGAGAAGATGTGGGAGGGCTGGAGGGCCGGTGTGCTCAGCATGGGCGTCTTGCAGGAAGGAGTCTGGGTTCGCCAGAGTGGGAAACAAGCAGATGGATGGAAGTGAACTGTTTTATAAATAATCACTGTTGAGCTGCATCTGGGATGGACAGGAAGAGGCAAGAGTGTAAACAGGAAGACTGCTTCGAAGGGTGTGTGGTGGAGACACGGAGAGGACTAACAGCAGTGAAGGGCGGTGCAGTGCAGCTTACAGTCGAATGGAAGGATGCCATTAGAAAACATTGAATGCGTCAAAGGGACTTGGGATGCAGGTTTTTCAGTTACAGAAGTGGAATCTAAAGATAGATTTCACATTCTTGGGGGGTGGTTAGAGTGAAACAATTCAAATGGGAGAGAAGAGAAGCTGACTTGGAAGTAGAAATAGTTTAGTGCAGTTTCAAGTGTCTGGAACACCTGGAGTGCAGTACTGTATTTGAGGATGGGGCCTCTCAGGTCTTCTCACAGCCTTGTAAAGATGTTGCTTAAAAAAAAAAAAAACAAGAAAAAAAAAAACAAGAAAGTTTTGGGGTATTCTCATTTAATTTACTAAAAGTTGTTTTCATTATTAGTGCAAGGAAGCATTATCAAGCTATAAGCCAGGGGTTCTTAACTTGTAGGTCATGACCCCTTTGGAAGGTGAATGACCCTTTCACAGGGGTTGCCTGAAACCATCAAAAAACACAGATAGCTTTCCCATTTTGATTCATAACAGTAGCACAAGGACACTTATGAAAGTAAGGAAAGTAATTGCATAGTTGGGGGTCAGCACAACAAGAGGAACTCTATTCAAGGGTCAGAGCTTAGGAAGGTTGAGAACCACTACTATTGGCTGTAATGCAGACCAACAGATGAGGCCCTTTGAGGCCCCATGCTGCCTAATAGGATAGGCATCTTGATTTCTCTCAGTCTTCACTTTTCTCTTAACTGTCTTAGACCCGTGGGGAAATTTTTTTGAAGTTTTATTTTTATCATGAGACTAGAAAGTGATTGTTTTGACGTTTTATTTGAATTGGCCTACAGCTTTATTGTCACATTTGCCACTAACTGAGTTCTCCAGCAATGAAAAACACCTAAAATGAAGAGGGGAGAAAACACGAGTAAAAAGAACCTGTAATCCAGGGAGGCACATTCCTTCCTATAACTTAGCATTCAGGAGACTGAGGCAGGAGGATGATGAGTTCTAGTCTAACCTCAGCAACATAGTAAGATCTTGTCTCAAAAATCAGTTGCATTTCAGATTAGACTAGAAAATCCTCAGTAAAATAGTTTTCTTGGTATTGATTCAGCATGTTAATTCCTGTTCAGTGAACAAGAGTCAGTACTTTAATTCTATGTGCTCTGAAACAGATTTCCAGACTGCTTCCTTATGCATATAGAAATTAGGATATAAGTCAAACATTTATGAGTAATTTTATTTGTAAACAATTTTGGTGTACATATCATTTAAAGATGAAAGCAAGTATACTGATAAATGAAGTAGATGTGTTGAATTTTACCTAAAGGATTACATCTTTATAGAAGAGCTGATACTGCCGGGTGCCCATCCTCAACCTTCTTGGAGCTGATCCACACATTTCTCATATACTTGGTGCTGAGACTGCCAGTTATTATAAATGAGTAGTGGGAAATGACAGAGGTGTGTTTATGAACATTTCATAAGTTCTGGGAAATGCTGGCCTGAATCTATCAAAATCCGTTTTATTTAACACTTAATATTCCACCTTGCCACCCCAGGTTGAGTGAATCCTACCTGAGACACCCGAGACACTTGTATGTTAGGAATTACCATTTTCTGCTCTTAGAGAAACAGTGATTCAGTTAGGAGACAAAGACTATATATAGCATAGGCTCATTCCTAACCATGTAAATATCAAATCAGCATATCTTTGGATCGTGTTAGAATGTTTAATTTAAAAATGTGTTGAGTTGTCTACTTGCCCTTTCATTATCCATTAAGATTGATTGCCCACATTAAAACTCTACTTTTAGGGTGCTAATTTAATGAAAGTACCTGTTTTCTATAATGTCAAAGAATTAGAGGACTTGGGGCCTATTTTGATTTAGGTGGCATACTTGGTTTCAGGACAGTTAATACTAAGGCAGGTGTGACATCTAGCAGGTGACAAATACAACAGAGATGTGCTGTGCACTGGAGGCCCCATGCCTGCTGTGCACAAATTGATATCACTGTTCTGATTGCAGGAATAGAATAAATCTTTAAATGTAAGCTCCTGTGATGAGGGCTTTGAAATGCCTTAGTTCTCCAATAACCTTTTCAAAAAGATTTTATCATCATTTTCATATGAGAAAGATTAAACTAAAAGAAGATAACTAACCTAAATCATCACAGCTGGTGAATGTAAAAAAGTGCCCTTATATAGCTACTCCATTAAAGTGTATAAGAATGCCTATTCTAGCCAGGGGGTGGTGGCGTATGCCTTCAATCCCAGCACTCCAGAGGCAGAAGCAGGCAGATCTCTGTGAGGTTGAGACCAGCCTGGTCTACAAGAGCTAGTTCCAGGACAGCCTCCAAAGCCACAGAGAAACCCTGTCTCGGAAAAAAAAAAAAAAAAAAAATGCCGATCCTATATCCTAGTTGTCTTTTTGGTATTGGTCGTGTCTGTGTCTAGAACAAAACTAACTTGATAACTGTATGATATGATGAGCTTAAGTTTATTTAAGCATTTTATGTTATAATTTTCCACTATGTAATCTATTGAAAAAAATCAGCAGCTCAGTCCTGTGATTTTTCTATCTAAAACATAACCAAGCATTAGAAGGTGTAAAGGAAATGTGTATGGAAGCAAGCCCCTCCAGTCTGACAGTAAGTTAGCAAGCTTGTTTCAATTTTTAAACCTACCATCTCTGTATACCTGTGTGTGCATACAGGTGCACACATGGACCCCTGTGCCTGTGAGGGCTGGACAACCTTTGATGGAGTTTCATAGGCACCAGCACATTTTTTTTTCTAAGAAAAATTCTCTTTTGGCTTGGAACTTGCCAAAAAAGCAAAGTGTGGCTGGCGAAGGAATCCCAGGAATCTTTCTGTCTCTACCTCTCCAGTGCTCAGGTATAAG